TGAAATAAAATGAGTTTATGTTCGTATAAAATGACAAAATAAAAGTTATATTAATATTATTATTACATAAATTCTGAGCTATAGATTATAATGCATAATACATGTGTACATAATAAATGCCAAAATTTCATATATCTATAATTAACTGAAATATAATATAAATTATTTAATAATTTTATTAGAAATAGAAATCTAACCAAAAATATATTTTAATAGCTCTTAATTTCTTAAGTCAAGCTATTATTATCCATCTATCTATAGATTTTTAGATCTTATGAAACATATCATTACATTATTACTATTCCATTGTTAATAAAATGCAATCAAAAGTTTTGAACACATTATAATTATAGAATATTTAAATATGTTAATAATGAGTATATTGGAAGAACCATGATCAATTGATGTTAGCATGTATTGTAAATGGAGAGGTGATGGTGACTGACCTGAACCCTGGCCTCGGAGAGGCTGGTGATCTGCGCTAACCTCTCTCTGGTGGTGACACATGGATAGTGAGTTCGTTCAAACTCTTCTTCGAGTACTTCCAACTGCTGGTGTGAGAAAGTGGTTCGGTTTCGACGAAATTTGGCTGAACTCGAGTTGGGGTCGAATGAGAGGTGAGAATCAAATGCTAACTGTTGTTGTGAGAGTACGGCTGATGTGTTGCTATGGTTTGGTGATGAGGAGTTGCTATGAGTACTGCTATTGCTATTGTGCTTAATGTCGTCCTTTTCCACGTCTCTATCTTCTGAAAGATTTGACACAAACTTCATTGCATTACTTAACCAAACAATAACAACGTTTATATTTGCTATCAAATCACTCACCTCTCGGACTGCTATTCTCTAAATCCTCTCTATTGTTGTGTTGCTGTTGTAATAACGCCGCGTGTGTTAGAGGCGATGGCGGCCAGAAGTGATGGCCAGTCTGTCCCGCGTGCGGGTGTTGGTGAGAGGCCAGTGCCGCCGCTGTGGCCGCCGCAGCCCACGCCGCGTACAGCTGGTGGGCGTGACCTGAGTTGCCTCCTATTGTGCACCAATTAGTCGTTTAGATATAGGTTTACACATATTTAATAACACATTGAACTCAATGTCTGACCGGCGTATGGATGGGCCGGATGTGCCGAATGGTGGTGAGGATGCGGTCCGAGTGGGTAGTGAACAGAGGCGGCGGTGGCCGCGGCCGCCAACTGATAGTTTCGGGCGAACTCTGCGGCCGCTCTTTCGGCCGCTCTGTTCCTAAGTATACGATTGATGGACGAGACCGACGGCGCCGTTCCGTTCGTACAAACGCCTGTATTTGCAATACTTATTCATTATAACAATCTATTGTGTCATTAATTATCACTCAATTCATTTCAATTTCAATCTTTTTGGTGTTATCTTTAGACTCATTAAGAGTTTAGACTTCTATTGAAACCATTGAACAAAAGTTATGCGAATTTCTCTTGTATTTTTGTTTCTGTCGCTTATATTTAAAGTGATATTTCATTTGCAGTGTATTTGTTGGCATTTTTTGAGAACTCATTTTTGTGATGCCAATCAGTCACTATGGGTTAACTGAGGTTATCAATTGGTTATGGGTATGGGGTATGAGTATGGGTGCAACCACTGTACCACTGATCAGTCTCTCTCTCTCTCTCTCTCTGCCGTCATTATTGAGGCAATCTCTCAATTAGGAGGTATAGACTACTCTCACAAACTGCTTCTGCCTTTGCATTGAAAGACTGGGCTTTACTTATGGATACGAATCCCTGAGATCTGACATCTATTTGAAGTTCTTCTGCAATCACTGAATACCAAAATGTCATTTCTCTTGGAGTTAATTAAGTTGTTATTCGCGTCGCGCGTAAATCCCTAACCATTGCAATCATTGAAGTGTTTGTTAAGACTTGTATTTGAGAGTAAAATCAGACATATTCTGCACCTCTAATAAAGTGAACGTTAAGTCAATGCATTGATAACTATGTAATGTCTGATAATCTGATTATTTAATTCAAGTTTCGCTTCTCTGTGTATATATAAAACTCATACACTTTTAAAGTTTACACAATTATCTGAATTTTGAAAAATGTCGCTTACATTGAGAATTGCAAATATTTGGGATCCACTGCCCCTTCAGGTGTCTCTCATTTAATGTATAGCCAAAGAAAATGTAAATTATATTTTCCTTTCAACTAATGATAAGATTTAGGTCTCAAATGACTCTATAAATCAAATGATGTTAAGACAACATTGTTTTGATCCCAAGTTAGGCATTAGTGACATGAGATAGACATACCATTACAATATGTCTATTAATACCATATTATTTCGCAGACAACTATAATTCGTTTATAAATTTCCTTTTCCTTAATCTAATGATAAATTCAACACAAAAAACATTGTTTTATTAAGAGATTGTTATGAGGGGTGTTGTGGTGAGGGCTGATATTCTGGGACAGCAATCGTCAAATTAAACTGATATCAAGGTTTAGAGAGAGAGAGAGAATGAGAGGATGAGTGCCATAGAGAGAGGACATAGAAATTCATTAGAGTGTAACTCAAGTTATAATTGAAAGCGATGTTAAAGTGAGAGTCAGTTCTTAAGGAATTGTGTAATGTCTGCGAGGAGGCGAAGACGGGTAGTCTTTTTTGGGTGCTTTTAATTCACTTTTTTCATGAATTACATTTGAGTGCCGGAAACGGCAACACTATAATCAAGTGACAAATACCAATACTTCCTGTCTTTGCAAATGCGATGGTTAGGCACCAGTGAATCGCTCAGACAGTGGTGTTGTCTATACATGTAGTGTAAAAGATTGTATTTTGAGAAGCGATTGTAGCGAACAAGAGATGTGTTTGAATGTTTGAAAGACCTTTTAGACAATGAAGTGAATGAGCAAACCTGTTGGGTGTGTGCGCGCAGGCATTTAATTCATGCGAGTAATTGCGCTCTTGTGGCCAATTTCACACATTACTACCGCAGCCCTACCCCTACCCTAAGCGTAAGCCCACTGAGCAATCACTCACTTGTATTACT